TGAACACACACAATTGTTAGGAATTTCAAAACAGTTCTGCTGATGATATGTAAACAGAATGCAGAACATAAAGAAATATATATTGACTCTGAAGAGTTAATAGTAGTAACAGTAAAAACAAGTTTTTAGTTGCCTCTGTGAGAACATACATATAGAAAAACTTCATACAAATGGCACCCCTAGTCAAATGTCAGAGTACAGCTACAGGAAGCACAGAGCATTAGCAAGGACTTCTGGGAATAGGTCAAAGTCAACTGTGTAGATCTAGACAGAATCTGACAGTACTCAAATGATTAAATCCTAAAATAATTACTTATTATGAGAAATGTTCTGTGAACTAGGTGTCTGAAAGATTCTTCACGGAAACCATCATTAAGCTTTAAACCCAAGTTGTTTTTTTAGATATGACATCTCAAAAAGTTTGTTCTATACAATGCTTGAAAAAGTACCATTTGTCCCTATAGAGATTAGGAAGCTTTTCTCAGCCAATGCCAGCTTCTAGCAAACTGAAACTTACATTAAAAAGAATTAAATTGATTTCTTTTATGTTTGCAAAGGCAACCTTCTAAACACCAACAAAGCATAGACTAACTCAGCAATATTTTGTTAAATTTGCAATACACAATTCCAGGTCCATTGTGGTTACTCAGAACATTGTTAAACTGCAGCAGAATGAAAACTAGTCTTATTTAGACCTCACAAGCAGCCATGAAACTGTGAATAATGAGTTCAATTTCATGCTGCAGTGGACTGTTATGAATAGCAACAGAGATAGGAAGCAGGGCTATTCACCAAGAGCTAAAAACTGGGAAAAGGAAGGATAGTAAATATAATCCTTTTCCTGCAACCAGAAAGCTGAAGAGAACAATACCAAAGACTTCACCACAACAGAGCCCTGGAGTAAGAGAGTATATGGGGAAGGATGAGGGATTCATAGATTTTTAAAGCACAAAGGGAACATTATGATAATGTATTATGACCTATATGAATGTAGACTATAGAATTTCATCAATGATTCCTTCAACAAGCTCATAATTTTTGGCTGAGCTAGAGTATATCCTTTAGAAAGACTTCCAGCCTAGGAAGAGAACCAAGAGAAAATACCCTTCCTTTTAATAGCCAGAGGGAAATGGAAGGAATGGAGAGATGATTCAAATCTGTCAGTCACTTAATAGCTGGAAAGCCTGTATCCCAAAACATGGTTCAGGACATTTCCCAGGAACCTCCACTTTCCCTGTAGTGCCCATACCACCAAGTCTTTGACTAACAGGCTTAATTGTCCAGCTATTCGGTGTCTGGTAAAATTTCAGTCCATCTATGAAGGGATGGCTGTGAAAAAGGAGAGAGAAAGAGGGAGATAATGTCTGAAAAAGAGTTGGTCTAATAAAAGGTATCATTTTGGAACCAAGAGTTCTAGTTTTTTGTATGTCTTTTTGTCTCAGACCAACATGGCTACCAAGTACACCCCGAAACATGGAAGATGCCGAATTTCAGCCGGTTTTGGATTTTAAACTTCATTGCAGAACAACAAGGAAGTTTTTTTGCCTCCCTGCCTGCCACCTGACACTTCCAGGGAAGGAATTCTACTTGATCAACACATCAAAGAGCTACTCAACACAGCTCACAAAGACACTCTCATGGACCCAGAGGGACAGACTTCCATCTTCAGCTCCCTCTGTGCAAAAATGAAGTTTATTTCCTACCTATGGGGACTTTTTACCATCTTGTACCATCTACGCTTTTCCCAGAGCCTGACGAAGGGGCTTTGATCCCGAAAGCTTGCAGAAAAGAACAATTTTCTTGCCATTTTCCAGTTGGTCTAATAAAAGGTATCATTTTGGAACCAAGAGTTCTAGTTTTTTGTAGGTATGTCACAAAGAACTTGTCTATACACAAAGTTATGTCAGTTTAACAAAAGGCAAGATTTTTAAACAAATGTAATTAAACCAGTGCAATAAGTTCTGTATACTCCTATATCGGTTTACAACAAATTTATTTTAGTTTTAACATAACTTGCTAAGGAATGTACTTTAAGCTAAACTATAATAAAATACTCAAAACAGAACTTGTATCTACATAGGATTTTACACTGGTTTAACTATATCAGTTTAAAATGGATTTAGCTTAAATCAGAGCCACTTCAGAGAGTAGAAAAGGCCTATCAGGGAGTTTCTTGAGCACGTAGCATTGAAGAATGAAGAACATGGAAAACTGAAAAAGAAGCAACTGTACATAGTAGGGAGAAAGGAAGTGAAAGGACCAAAGTAAGTGTAGTAAGACTAAAGGAAGAAGAGGGAGAGAGGGAGGAAAAAATTCAGACACTGAAGACAATGCTGAAAAAGATTAGCTATGGTCTAATATAAGAAAGAAAAAGTTGAGTGCACTCAAAGGTAAATCAGGAATAAATCAAGAGCAGAGTGTTATAGTAAAGTTGCATGTTTTTAAATGTATTAAGCTAAAAAAAAGTCACAATTAAATATTGCACACAACAAACAGTGAACAATGCATTCTGCTAACTTTGGTAAAATGGTACAGGTGTTTTTTCTCAATGGTTAGTCTTCTGAATTGTTCCCAGCCAGTAGCTGTCAAGCATAAATTTTACAACTCAACTTAGCAGTGTTTTCAAACATGATTTTACGCCTATGTATTAGACAATCTGTTTCCAGAGAATGTGATGCTAATCTCACGTTTTACCAACAAATTCTCACATTTTATCTCAAGAGCATAGGCAACATTTGAAATGCAATAGTACTTTCAGAAAAAATTTCAAGACCACAAGCCAAAATTTAGATTTGTGATAGAAATCTAGTTACAATATTAACTATCTTCTCTCCATGAACCTTATTTTCAACAATGCTGTAAGAGTTTGAGGGTAGAGATAAAACTCAAAGAGCTTGACAGACGTTACAAATCTGTACCTTCATCACCAAAAATAAAATCATATCTCATATTATGACAATAAAATAGGCAACACTATTTTGTATGTTTGCGTAAATGAAATACACAATAGTGTATCAAAAGTTTTCTGTGCATGAGTTCAAGGATGCACTACTCATGTGGCATAGTCATTTGTTAGTTATGCTAGTCATCACAAAAGTGTCAATAAAACCTTCATATCACCACAAGTAGCATGAACAAAGTATATTACACAGAAATTATATTAAGAGCGTTTTGGAGAGCATATATCCACTTTATAGGACTCAGGGATCACCTCTAAAAAGATCTAAAATAGATAAGCACAGAAGTGTTATCACTGCAAAATCCATTATCTCAGTCATTTCCAGTCTACTGCTGGATCCCATCAGAAAGTTTAGAATATTCCCTTACCAATGATTCAAAACTCCCAGATCTATGGGTTTGTGAAATAATAGATTTAAAATTGTGTAGAAAATTGTTATTGTCACAACTCTAAATCTTGCCTGAATTAAAACTTAGAAACATCGGGAGAATTTTCAGATGGAGGGGACGGAGGGAGGGTAGAGAAGTTTTATTCTGTTTTGTTGTTGTTGGGGGGGTTGTAAAATTAAACATTGTTTTGAGCTGCTCAAGGTTTTTGTGTGCTAGAATAAATTCTGAAAGAAGTGACTGGACAGATCAGATGTAGCAATGAAAATTGCATGGTAAATTTATTATACAGACCGCACATGTGCATACACAACCTGTATTACACACACAGCATTACCTTACCTTACTTAACCAAAACAGCTTTATAAAAATATTTAAAGCTCAAATGAGCACCTAGGTAAAATTCTAGTTATGCAGCTGTGGGTTCATACACATCTAAACACTTTTCAAAACTAGTTTTAGATTGAATGGTAACATCTTCCACACTGTGAGAACATAACATTTATCTGTTTCAGTCTGAAACGAAAGATGTAGATACTATAGCACCAGAAAGGAAATATGATCATTCATCTAAATTCAACAGAAAAGCCATCTACTTCAAAACACTAAATGACATGCCAGATATTACACAGTGTCTATACTATGAGATCAACTATGTTATGAGAGCACATTAGAAATCAAAATTTTCCATCTTCCAAAATAGTTGGGACCAAACAAAAAGTCCCTGAAATGTGTAAAAATTGTGATACTAAACTATTAATAAAGGAGGGCTTATCCAGAAACTAGAACCATTGTATATTCTGGGACAACCTATGCTATCTGAAGTCCCACAGCATTGAAATTTATATATCAGACAAATGGGACTGTCCAATGCAACTACCTGTTCCTGCTACATCATTTTGTTCCATTCATTTAATGGTCCTTCTTTAGGGAACAAAAGGTTCCAATAACAACAACAACATCTTAGGGCTTGTATACACCTGGGTGTTTTGCACTGATGCAACTAAATTCATTTAAATATACAGACAACCCCCCCGCTTGGCGCTCTTAATTGGTTCCTGAAAAATCAGGCATTAATTGAAATGAGCCTTAAGTGAAACCAAGAGTATTTGACAACCCAAGATGGTGACCACAATTGTTTTTAATGACCCAAGATGGTGACTGTGAGCGTTATAATGAAACTCGCTGAGCGCTTAGTGAAATCAGGTATCAATTTAAAACGTGTGTTATAGCGAAATAGCGCTAAGCAAAACAACGTTAAGCAGGGGTTGCCTGTAGTTGTGTAAATCCTTAATACAGATATACTTAAACAAGGTTAAAGTCATATATGTAGTGAAACTTTAATAGGATAATTAACTAATTAGGTTACGGCAAAATTTAAAAGAGTGTTTCTACATTGGGGACTGGCATTGGGGTACAGCAATAGATTCAGATACATCAGCATAAGATGTCTAATATTTATTTGCTCTTATGTAACTGAGAACAGTTTTGGTTCGACTCCAAGCAACCAATATTATCAAGTACAGAAAGTACATGTTAACTTAATGAACTCAAGTTTTCAAAAATATTTATTCAGTGTCTACCCACAGCAATATTAAAATTAAAGAGAGAAGGAACAGTGGATACAACAAAAATGAATGTTAAAAGAATCTTACCTTTATTCGATTTGGATGACTTGTTCTTATTAGGTTTAAAACAAGAGCTCCTTGATTTTTCTTCTCTATCCTTAATAAATTTTTGTACATCATCCAAAGAAAGTTTCTGAAGGACAACTACTGGCTTAGCTCCCTTATTCAGATCTTCGACTAGCCCAATCTTCTCTACTTTGTCCTTATGTTCACTCTTAATTTCAGTTTTCCTCGACTCCTGAGTGACATTCCCATCCTTATCACGCTTGATTTTGGGAATGACAAAATGTTTCAATGCACCAGATCTTCCCCCCAACAAATAACTGGGAAACTCTGCTTTATTGTCAGTATGTGCTTTATTACTATCTACTTTACTCTTATTACCCTCTGTCCTTCGCTCATCCTTGCTGTTTGGTGATTTAAAACCAGGTTTATCAGGTCTTGATTTACTGGAATCTCCTTTACTTTCCTGTTTAATACGAGGACTGTCAGGTCGTGATTTCTGTTCCCCAGAAGAAAGCCTCTCTCTTGGCTCGCCGGACTCATGTCTATGTTTTCTTTCCAGTTTCTCAGCTTTTGAACTATCAGGTTTAATGCCATGCTTAGAATCATGTTCGCTTTTGTTTGAGGATCTTAAATATTCAGGTCTTCTAATCTTAGATGGATCTCCCCTGTATCTTTCTGATTCACTTCTGTCTTCAGGCTTTTGTTTAAGGCTATCGTGGTCACGCCTTGGTGTCTCAGGAACTGAACGTCCATCAGGTCTTTGTTTTGTTGGATCTGATCTACTTTCAGATTTTACCCTAGAGGGATCACATTTAACATCCTGTTTATGTCTGGATATTTCAGATTTCTTTTCCGAAGATGGTTTACCAGAGTCCCTCCTATTGTCATGTCTGTGTTTTGGCGTTTCCGGCCTACCTTCATTTTTCTGCTTTGGCGTTTCCGGCCTGCCTTCATTCTTCTGCTTTGGTGTTTCTGGCCTGCCTTCATTCTTCTGCTTTGGCGTTTCCGGCCTGCCTTCATTCTTCTGCTTTGGTGTTTCTGGCCTGCCTTCATTCTTCTGCTTTGGCGTTTCCGGCCTGCCTTCATTCTTCTGCTTTGGTGTTTCTGGCCTGCCTTCATTCTTCTGCTTTGGCGTTTCCGGCCTGCCTTCATTCTTCTGCTTTGGCGTCTCAGGCCGCTGCCGTATTTCCTGTTTGCCGTTGTTTTGCTTTCCCTCATTTTGCTTTGCTTCTATCTGTCTGCTTTCATTTTGTTTCACCTCTGTCTGCTTGCTCTCATGCTTGCTTTCATGTTTAGCTTCTATCTGTTTGCTTTCATTGTGTTTACTTTCCATCCGCTTGCTCTCATTTTGTTGTACTTCTGTCTGTCTGTTTTCATTTTGTTTAATATCTGTCTTTTGACCCTCAGAATCCAACTTTTTTCTAAGGGTCTCAGGATGGTTTTCAGGTTTGAGTTTAAGAACTCCAACAGTGTCTTCTTGAGGAACAAAAATAGATCCATCATTACACTGTTTTATTTCTTCAGGTTTTTTGATGGTATCTGAATCCTGAGTTACAGTTGCCTGAGAATCCACTCGTCCTGCTTGTTGAAGATTAATACTAACCAGCAGTGCTGGCTTTGACCCATTTCCTGCTGAACCTGTCTCCTGAGAAGCTGGTCTATTTCCTCCAGTAGCACCCCCAGCCTCCTGTGGATAAGAATCTTGTTTTCGCTTCTTCAAAGGTTTATCTGCAGATTGAAAGAAAAAGACCACAGATGACATATACAAAAAGTTGGCAAACCCTCTGCTCCCCAAAAAAACTGAAAAGCAATTTCCCTCCACAAACAAATGTGTGCACATCCAAAAAAGTAAGAGTGCATGCAAATTCTATACACATACTACTTTAATTATTCATGGACTGTGGGTAAGAATCAGTCTGCTATAGGTACAAATAAGGCCTTTTTAAAAACACAAAGTATGATATTATATTTCTGGTAAGTTCACAATGAACAAATCAAGGCATGAGCAGCTGCTATTCGCAACAAAAAATTCTGTCACAGTTCCTGTTAAATGTTAAAAGAACATGTAGCATTCACAAGTATGCAAAGATAAAGGTATTCGTCTATAACAATGACTTGGTATTTTTGGGCATAATATTACAATACATTTTTTCCTGAAGGAATGACCCCAGCTCACTGTTGATTCAGGCTGATGAAAGAAGCAAGGATCTATAGTGATTAAGGTGGGGATTCTCTCTGCTCTGTTAACTACACGCTGAACAGTGACAATAAATATACTCAACATCTATTTTTAGCATTTCACACCTCAACTTGGAGACATGTAACATTGTGATAGTTGAAGACTGTTCCATAGTGAATTTACACCACGGGGCAGTGTTACACAATTATAAGCTAGAGTACTTTCCTTTGCAACTCTATTAAAATTTTTCTAGATATGATATATAAAATTATCTATGTTCAATTAGATGGTTCTACATTTATAATTTCACTTTACAGTAAAAACAAAGAGTGCAGAATAAATTGGGTTTAAAATAGGCAACACATCTTGTAATTATGTAAATTGATAGAATTTAGACATCTATGTCATCCATTCAATTAGGAAATGTTCTATATAAAAATTAGTTTAGTTTATTACAGAAACTTAAACCCTCACCTTCACTAAAACTCATACTTTATGCTGTCAAATAGGTCTTATTTGAAAAAAACCCAAGTATTCTCCTATAATCAGAGAACTTGCTTTTAGACCCAAAGGAATTATTAAACTTTGTCAATCGTGTCTTACATAGGCATGAAATCCAGTTATTAAAAAAAATAAAGCTAATTCACATCAAAATTTTCAATTGTTCACTGTTTCCTCCAGCAGCACCCGCAGTCTCTTTATAAGGATACTCAACTCTACATCAACAGAGAGAGAGAGAGAGAGAGAGAACGAACAAGAAAGAAGGGGGGTGGAGAGAGAAGCAAACTATAAGAGGAAAAGCACATTAAAATGTTAATTCCCTAAATCTAAGTGAATCAGATGCGTAAATAAGAAAGGTAAAAATTCATTAATCTGCAAAGAAATAGAATTATAGTCTTTGTAAGATTCCTGAAGAACCAGAAGGATTTTCTCCAAAGTTAAATATGAGAGCAAGCTATAACAAGCTGGTCAGTTGCAATAAGTAAACAGACATTTCTATTTTATTTTTGTTCATATTTCTTTTTATTTTTTCAGATAAGGACCTATAGCTTGCTAAAAATCCAACTTCAGATATAAATTTCTGACTGCTGCAGAGATGACAAGCAGATATAAAATGTTAAGTACTAAATAGACAAATATAAATAAGGCTATATAATACATAAATAACATTGGAAATTTTTAAAAAGCTCTTTATTATTTTCATTTAAGTAATTAGAAAGTGGGAAAGTTTGGCTTTCCTTACTTTAGAAACAAGCTCTGAAAGCAAAAAATACCCACTTTAGCTTTGGAGGTCATAGCTTCCCTACCTAAAAGCTACTGAATGAGAGATCTTTCTTAAAATCTCCATGCCTAACAGTCATAGTAAGAGACATTTTTCCTCTATGAATGGACACAGAAGAGATTATTTGGCTTCATGCCAGGATTTAAGTACCGCCAAGCAGCACAAGCTTCCAGAGTTACAATCTCCAGATTCAAAAAATGTAATGTTATACATGTTATTTCATAATTATGCCAAAAGAAATCTTTTAAAGAAGATCCTTAAGAAGTTTATGACCTTTCAGGAAAAAAGAAAAAACAACATGTGTTCAGACCAGCAATTCTCAGGCAGCATGTCAGGGCACCCTGGGGTGCCATGAGAGCCTTTTAAGGGTGCAACATGAAATGTGAGGAGAGGAGCAGATAAGGGCAGGCTGAGGTTAGAGCTGTGAGTAGATAAACAGATAAGGGCAGGTTCAGGCTCTCCCTAACTGGCTTCTCCCCCTATCCCCACTGCCTGGCCTCTCTGCAAGGAGATAAGCAACATAATAAATAGTTTTTGAAATGGGGTGCCACACAATTCACAAAAAAGTTATGGATGAGTGCCACAAGTTTGACAAGGGGTGCTTTGAGTCTAAAAAGGTTGAGAACCATTGGCTTTGACACTTAAAACCAAAGTCGTTGGGAAGTTAAAATATCAGTGAAAAGCATTTTAGTGAGGGATCAGTGGGCTCAAAAGAAAATACTGACAAATGAAGTAAACTTTCCTTCCCTTTCCCTTTATCTTCCATACTTGACCATCCTCACAATATTATTTGTTTTGGATTGCCAGGATATTGACCTTGTAGTTCCAAAACGATATACAAACAGATGACTACACCACAACTTAACATACTTTACACAGAATCTGAGAGATCTTTCAGCCTGACTGGATTGTTTTATATTGATGTTCCTGTGAAGCCAAGATTACTGCTTGCAGATCTCTCTGTTACCCAGTTAGTAACAGAATCATTCAAAGCCTTATTTTTTAAAGCAAAATGTTCATAAAGAATCTCCTATAGACCTCGCGCTATGTTCTGCTGTATCCTGGCCAGTCTTCTCACAACTAGTTTTGATGATTTGGTCTCTACTGGATGTTTAGATTTAGGGCAAAAGAATGGCACTACCACTTTAGGGAAGTGAAATGCCATGCTGAACTAGGTCATAAAAGCCAGGATTGACAGACAGTACAACTCATTTTTGGTTGAAAGTACAGACTGAAGCTATGGTAAGCATGCAGTCAACTCTAAAATCTTTCTAGTTGTATTGATGACTACTACAAAAGAACAACTTTCAAATTATGAAATCGAGTGAAACTGACAATGGGGTATCTAAGAATGGCTTTATAAAGTTTTTAGGAATTAAATTAGGCTCCAAAAGGATAAATTGAGGATTACTAGAAGGATAATGAGGGACAAAATTTAAAAATATGGAAAAAATAGGGCTACCCTGATAACCTTATGAGCTTTTCACAGTCAAGTGCACTCAGGTTTGCATAAATCTGCTTCTAAGATAGCCTTGAGACAATTGAACTTTGAAAGAATTAAAAAGATGTCCATCTTATAGACTTTGGCTTAATGAATTTTTATAACTGAAGTAACTCCAATTAATTTCATTAACTTTGTTGGACTGTTAGTGAAATTTCTTTGAAAATCTTTGCTAGAAGATCAATGAGATTAACATTTCCATTTTAGCTTCTAAAGATCCAGGTATTGGTTAAGAACCCTGTCATGAGGTTAAGACAAGGAGCAGATTCATTATAATTAAATATGAGAGCTAGGGCTTTGACATCAATAAGATGCAATTCAGAATCATTATGGGTTAATTCCTTTACAAATTTTAACTGCCTTTGTAATCAGTGTAATAGGTGGGAAAACAGCTGAAGTATTCGACTACCTCAGAGATAGGGTATCCAAATTATCTGCTTCTGGATCCTTTTTTTTTTTTTTTTTTTTTT